AAAGTATGATACAGTTAACGTGGAACTACGATTTTTATAAAGTACTACAGACTGAGGATCTTACAGCAGCGAATATGAAGATGGTTGTCTACTGGGTTGTAGCACCATGTAGACTGGTAAAAGCTTACCAACATTTCAGAGGTACTTGCTGCCACTACTACCATTTTACTGGTTTGTGAATAAAAAAGGTTGAAAGTCATTGGCCCACAGAATCTGAATAAAACCATGTAAAACAGTAGTCTCATAGAGACTCTACATAGGTTTGCTGGGAAGAAGGATTATAATTAAACACAGCCTATTTTAATTAGCATTTGTAGTAAAAGAAACAGAAGATCATCTCCTGGGAATAGGCTGTATATCTTGTTTCTGTTAAAGCCAAGTGGATAAAAAAGAACAACACAACGTACATCCCAATAGCTGTTCATAAAGGCAAGGAGAAAGTTTCAAAATATGAAATAAAGTACTCACCTACAACTTTGCCTGCTTCAGTCTTTAAGTTAAGGAAAGTGCGACCAAATGGATTATGAAGAACTGAATAATTCTTGGGATTGTCAAACTCATGGTAAAATGGTAGAATTAAGTACAGCCTGAGTGTCTCTATGTCTGGTGGTGAAGTAACAAGAGAAGGAAGCAAATTTTCCACCACACAGTTTGATATCTAAAAGCATAAATGCATACTATTAATAAAACAAACATTTTATACAGTTCTGCATTTAAAGATCATTCTGCAGTCTATGAATGGGATGATAATTGACTTACAGGAACTTAGGTGTTTGATATTTAATCTTTACATGTTCTACAAAAAATATACAGAAATGGAGCTTATATTACAGTGTCAACACAAGGAATAAAAATCAACTTCACAGACCAGTTACCAACCTCTCATGTTTTCAGAAGAGGGCATATTATGCAGGGATCCAAATTTTCAACAGTCTACCATCAAGTCTTACAAGTCTTGTAAATAAAAAGGCAGAATTTAATGTAGCATTAAAAAGATTATTATCATTAATAATTAATATCTATTAATTATACTAGTAAATTGTGCTCAACCTAACCATTATGAGATTTGTGGTTTTCATGGTGGTGAAATACTGATTCTGGTCTTTTGGGTTGTGCTGCCATACAATGTTGCTAGTGATTCCCCATTTTTTGTAGGAATTTTTTGCATCCACCAACACAGTGGACCCACAACACAATTCACAACTTGACTAAAAATTGTAAACACTCCTTCATTAATGGAAAAAGGTTCAATACTTAATTCCTTCAATGAACTAATAATAACTCAAATAGCTGAAAATTAATGTTTAACTAATATAAATATATTCAGTACTTACCAATTCTTTTATTGAATTATTCTCAACTCGACCAATAGTTGAAAAGCATTGTTCAGCTAAAGGCAAACTGACTCCATGATGACGTGATGTGCAACAGTAATGTTCATCATTAGGCAACAGGAAGGAACAGTTCATACATGCCTGACTGCTGAACACGGTTTCTAAGCAACTGAAAAGTGAGAAGCGGGCCTGTAAAGCTGTATAACAAAATTCAATTTACTTTAACCCTTTATACTTCAATAATTTGTGGGGAATAACATGCCCCCATTGTGGATGTAAGTCATATAGCTGTAGACCCTACTCTGTCAGCCACAATCATAATCGTTATCAACACCATTGTGGATGTAAGTCATATAGCTGTAGCCCCTACTCTGTCAGCCACAACCATAATCGTTATCAACACTGTCATCCTTGAATTTGGGAGTAGCAGAACAGGCTGCATTAGAACCAGCACCAACACAGAAATGATCTCTTCAATATGCTGAAGAAAGCAGAGGTCAGCAAGGTCAACTAAACCATAACTGGAAACATTAGGTGCATAACTGTTCTAAAATATTACACCCAAAAATTAGTTTAAACTGGCTACTCTTCATTTTAACAGAATTATTCCTGTAAGAAAAGAGCTAAAAGCATGGAGTTACTTGCACAAACAAATACAGAAAATGGTCACACTGATAATATGCTGTATAAAGTATAAGCATGTTCATATTACAAATGTTTTACAATTACATTTGTATAATTGCAATTAAGACAAAGTTGTACCTCAATATTAGATCATACTTAGATGCTGGTCTTCTGGGTTTTTACACTGTGTAGTATTTTTCCTGTATGCTAGTGTTTCAGAGGAGAATGCTATGTACCTATCAGGGCTGAAGAACACACAGCCCTGCAGATGGAGACAGTATGTTACTCAAAAATGCTGGTACACAACTAAAATATCTCTTTTTTCACATTACTGTCAAAATCTCAAATCCTATATTATACTTACTTTGACTTTCAAGCTATCCTAAAAGTAAATTAAAGTTTTATGTTAAAGTACCTCATGAGGTCCTGATCAACCATTTCACTGCCAGATGCCTTTTCACACTGCTCAGTAGTTTCTTGTGTTATAGAAAGAATTTGGGTATACTTGTTGTAGACTCTGAAGTCATCTGATGGTACATTATCCTGGAAATAATTTATAGTAGTACCCAATATCTAAACTAATAAACATACGTGCAAACCATGGAATATCTTAAGGCAGTAATCTGTTTACAACAACATGGCCTCAATGTTCATTTATTGCAGATACAAGTTGAATGTCAAAGTTAAACGTCGATAGTACTAAACTGTTAATGAATGTTCAATTGAAAACCTTTATGCAGTCAGTCAATAGCACAGTCAGATGCTACAATATGGAGATATTCACTGCAAGACTGTGAAAATACCATAGCACGCATGTTAATGCAGTGGTAACACTTTAATATTGTATCCAGGAGTTACTCAGATTGTATCTTGGCCAACTACCAGCTATAATGACTGAAGTTGTCTTTTCTGGTGAATTCTGGGCAATACCTTCAAATGTTATGGTCTCCTACTTCCAAATACTAACCTATTCACCATTTATGGTCAACCTTCAATCCTATTTGCTCCTACATAACATAGGATATTAAAGCAACACAAATATGTAACTGTATATCAAAAATCAAGAAACTCTTGATGAATGCAGACACATGTTATAGACTTGCTGGTACAGGCTGAATCATAGCTTACCTCTTTATGTGTGACTGTAGCAAAACAGTGATCACCCCCTGAGTAGATTCTTCTCACCATGCAGTTACTGGCATGCTCTGTTTGGATGCCTGCCTCCACAACAGAAACTCCACCCGGTGACACCCATGGACCAAGAACAACTTGAGGAGTAGTAGCACTGCAAGTTGCCCTAGTCCCTAACTGGCCAGCTCCACCCAATCCAAAGGCATACACTCGTCCCCTTGACGGAACAAAGGCTAGAGTATGATGCCTGAAACACACCAAAGATCAGAACTGAGAATTTTAATATAACAAGACAAATTGTGGATGCCTCACTGTGCCATTCACAGATTAGGTCAACAAAATCAGCAGCAGCAAGCTTGAGACAGAAAACTCATTCATGCTGTTCGCTTTAAATAATATGGGCTTACAGATAAACACTGTAATTGTCAAGAAATGATAGAAGATACTGCAATGTAATTTCACTATATTTATCTTTCTTTGCAGAAAACTGGCAAGTAACACTGGTTTTAAAGAATTTCTAGAACTATGCATTTCATAATGCTAATTAGTATGATTAAATACTGCAAAATTTAACCCACATCAATGTGTGCCATATTCCTACCTGCCACAAGAAATCTGTGTGACTACGCTGCCCATGAGTTCTAGAACTTTCCGTGGAAGGAACTCACATGATGTAGAGCCATGACCCAACTGACCATACATCCCTGCTCCACAAGTAAAAACACCTCCATCCTGAAAACAAAAGAATGCAGATATTATGATACAACTCAGAGATTTACAACTCAGCAGATTTTCCACTTTTGAACACAGCATAATGATGCCAAAAATAAGTCTTCCACAGTAATTCTGGAAAGCTGACATTCAAACTGTAAACTATAGCAGAAAAATTATGCACATCAAGCAAACCTAAAAAATTTGTCAATGTCACAACAAACATATGTTACAAACTTATCAAATAAAATATTTACTTCATAATTTTTCTTCACATTCAGGCATAGGATTTTAGGAGATAGTCTTATGTCTTAAATAAATGTGGAATTTCATACCTTAGTGAGAAATACAGAGAAATCTTCTCCACAGGCAACATATTTCACTTTGATAGAACGCAGAGTTTTCAGCTGACTTGGAAAGAGCCTGTCTGTGTCATCACTGAGACCAAGTTGGCCAAAGCAATTTTTACCCCAACCATACACAGCTCCTGCAACCGGAAAAGAGATATGGAAAGGATGTGCCAAAGTATGTTTACACTTGAAAATATCAAGTTCAATAGCCAATATCAATCTTCTCCTAAACAAGAATTATCATTTCCTGGTCACTCTACAAGCAAACTTCAATGTTTATAGAAGTTTTTATGGTCTGATATTTACTAATGATCGGTCTTAATCTTCAAGGAAATACAACATGAATGGGAAAGTGAGGAAGTACATGCAATGCAAGTCTCAACAAAATTATTTGAATTACCTCCTTTTTTAGGCGACTAAATAATAGCAGACTCAAAAAAACAACTTAATGACCAAACTGCTGGTTACACAAAAAATGTATTTGCCACCCTGACAAAATGCAGCATAAAAGACATCCCAATCTAATGATCAATTACGTGCATACCAACTGGAAACAGAAACTAAAATGACCACACAAGTCTTATAAAAGTGAGGTCTGAGTTCTTTGACAGCTAATTACAATGATGATGATGATAAACTATTTCACAACAAACAACTTTACAGATATTAATGAGATTTGTATTTTGAGTCTGTGTTCATGTTTAACATGGCAATGATTATTCATTTTACCTGATATAGAGACAGCAAAACTGTGGTTTCCTCCACATGCTATGAAAGCTATGGGGATTCCAGTCAGTGAACTGATAACTGCAGGTTTTTGATGTCCATTCTGATTCCCAAAGCCAAGCTGGCCATAACTATTAGAACCCCAAGCATATAACGCTCCATCTAAAAACAACATAACATTTTTCTTCTACTGTACCACAATTATGATAAGCATTTGACCTGTTCAAGAATCACTGGTGTTGAATACATAAAAACAGAAGACTAATTTAGTAAATGGCAGAAATCCAAACATTGCCTTTGGGTGTACATACTGGAAATGTTTTCATATGACATATGAAAGTCACAACTCTTTTAAAAAAAAACTCATAAAACACACCTTTAGTTAATGCAAGACTATGGTCATATCCACAGGTGATCTGGATCACATGACTTGTTGCTAAAGTTTTTATCATCTTTGGATTTAACTGCATGTCATTATTCTCACCCAAACCAGTTCCTGAAATGAAGCACCTTACATTATTACCAATGCCAAATATGAGGTACCATTTCATCAGTTTAAGAAATTCAGTAGGCCTACAGTAAAACACATCTGAGTACATCACACCATAGTAACACGATTGCTTTACCCAGCTGCCCGTGTACATCAGATCCCCAGCTGAACACCTGACCCCATTCATTAACTGCCACAGTATGACTGGACCCACATGATGCTCTTGTTATCAAATACATTGATAAACTGTCCACCTTTTCTGAAACAAGAAACAAACACTATGACAGGTCAATTATGTTATAGATGTTAACTCTATAGATATACGTAGTTAAACATTCTTAAAACAAAAATAAATCTGATTTTAAAATTATGAGGGCTACTGTTGTTCAACAAACCAACAAATAAATATTGTTAAAATAATGTATCTACTTAAAAATGATTTTATATTTATAAAATTTATTTTATTTCCTGTACAGTTTCAGAAAGAACATACATTAATTGATTATTTTACTCAAATTTCAATTTAATGAACATTTTAATTCCAGACAGAATGTAAAACCTTATGGTCTTTTCCACAATAATTTTAACACAACACAATAAGAATTCTGGATATCAAAATTAATTGTGGTTAATTTATAAATTTTGAATAATTGTCCATTTTACAGTCTCTAAAAGAATAATGGTTTTGCAAAACAGGGTGTTTAGCTTCATATATACATAACATAATCATCTGTAACATGTAATACACCAATACACACTGCCACAACTTTTCATTTTAGTATACTTTTGCAGCATATAAATTTCATATGACCCCAACAGTTCAATGTAACAGTGCTTCACTATGAATTGCAGGCAACAAAAAATAAAAAGTTTAACAATTTTAAAACTTTGTCATACCAAACATGTTGACAACTTTTTTCAAGCCATATGCAACTGAATTCTATATCCCATAATTACCATTCTAGTACATTGACTGAAATCAATACTTCTGGGAATTATGTCAACTCGTAGGTCTATGAACAGAAATTATGGTAACTTGTAGACTCACATGATGGTATCTTATTACCTGTAGTTTTATAAAATTAACTCGAGGAATGTTATACAGAAGCTACTTTCCTTTAGAAATGTTCTTCTAATCAGGAAGTTTTAAGTGGGTATATAGTAAATAAATAACAATTTATTAAAAAAATTACCTGGCTTCTTACAAGGTTTTTCATGACCCAGTTGACCATAATCATTACTTCCACAGGTATAGACTTCACCATCACAAGTCACTATGACAGTGTGGTAGCTGCCACAAGCAACTGAAAGTACATACAAGAATGGAATCAGAGTGATTAAGTTTGTTAAGTCTATGTTATTAACGAACATTCCTAAAACTCACCTTCTTTTATGTTTGTTGTTTTCTTAAAAGTCAGTTCCCGTGGCGACAAAATATGTTCCTCCTCAATGCCACCAAGTCCCAACTCTCCATTCACAGTATTACCCCAGCAAAACATGTTACCTAAATTGGACTGAGAAGGCAAATTTCCAGCCCACTCAACACTGGGATTTTGATATTTCCACCAAAAAGGCCCCTAAGGAATAAATATACGTCATAAAATCTAACATACACTGATACTGAGAACACTTAACCTTAAAAAATGAAATGGCTAAATCATTGCAATTACCACCTATTATATTCTGATGAAACAGATTTACAGTACTGTACTGCCGTTCATCACGAACTCACTCTAATCACAAAATTACAAATCTTTCAAAATATTACAAACCAAAGTGTACAGTACAAATGTTCTTTTCTTTATGTATCATTATTTGGAGTGAATGTATAAACATGACTTTCAGTTAGATTAAAACACTTCTTACAAGTGAATGACTTTGCATTACAATCTTTGGGAATTAAACATATGTTTCCGAATGTGTCAAAGTTGTCGATAAAACAAGTGCACTTGCAAATAATAATTTGCTTCCTCCCACAAAACGAAATATTCTAAATTAAATAATATTTCTGCCACGAGAGTTCACACAATCGCAGAATAAGACGCAGGTAATGGTTAGGAATTTTCAGCCGGTGTTCGACATCAAAATATGGAGCATACTATGAGTTTATCCTCTCCCTAAAAGTAAAAGTAAAACTGTCATACTATACGCCATGTAGGCGCTTGGGGGGAGAGAAATATAGCTCCTACTTATTCTTAATCTCGGCACTAGGTGGGTGTGAGTGGTCAGCATCATGACCCGGCTACGCTTTACCCCTGGAAAGGACCCTGGTACCCACTGGATAGGAGGCTGGTTGGCTGGCCTGGACGCAGAGGCAAGAGGAAAAATCCTTTTCTATACCGCGGGCCGTTTTGAATATTCATATTCTTGAATACAAGCAACCGTCACGTTGGAAATACCGAGTGCAGGAAAACACAAAGTATGAAAATGCAGAATTCACTTGTGTCACAACATCCATACCAAATTTCATTTATTTCCATCCAGCCATTCTGTAGTAAATAAACATGTAAAGATAGACATCACTTGTGAAGGGGTTAATAACTCAGGGTTAGGTTAGGTTAATGATGCACATGTGCAGATGGTCATGGGTAATAGCAACATCAGCATCCCACCTCACATTCAAGCAACCATCATGTTGGTTCACTTAGTGCAGGAAGAAATAAAGTATGAAGTTGGAAAAGTCATCAACATTGGCATCACATCCACATCAAGTATGTTTGAAATGCATTTGAACATTGGCTTCTGGTTCGTGCCCATGGTTGGAATAAGCATAATGCAATTTCAACTTTTTCACAAGCAAAGTCATGTGTTTTCTTATGACCAAACAATTTATGTGGATAATTATTCTGGCTAATATTTACATGTTATAATGAAGAAAATAGTTGTTGAATACTGTGGGCAGTCTGAAATAATTCTCTTCTTATTATGCTGATTCAATAATGTTACAGTTTACTCTATTTGGAATACCATCCTTGAAATTAAGTGTAATTTTCAATTTGCAAATCACATTGTGAAAGAGAAGGATGACATCTCATTTTTACTATCAGTCTGTGTGTTGCCAACTTGCTTTAAGAATTTGTAGCAATAATGTACTATTGGTGTAAAAGGTATTGTTCAAGAGGTCATAGTAATGCTGGAATATCTTCAGATAAGTGAAAAAGAATAGGATGGACCTGTGTGTGTTGAAATAGGAGGAAGGTAAACTATGTCTTATCTCCTTTTCAATAACAATGTATAATATTTTGGTTCCACCCACACATACTGGGAAATTTGCAAAGGAAATTATTTTAATGTATACAAAAAATACTGACATATTCACTGTAAAATGAATACAATTTATTCTACATGGCCCATGCTATGTTTAGATCTGTAAAGTTGAGTCATTTGTGGACAGCTTTGCATGGAGTGGGAGTAGTCAAACACCAGCCATTTTGAGCAGCAAACATTTTAAAGGTGTTCAGTCATGTCCAACCATTGGTATACTATATTCACATAATTTCTTATATATTTTAAATGTTATAAATACATCATTATTTTGGAACTAATATTGTCCAAGTCACTTGCCCTCTATCTAACCATGGAATGCTGTGAAAATAATGTGACATTTCTGTTTATGCCTTCACCATCTTCACTTGTTATGTATTGGTACCATAATCATATGAATCCAAGGTGCTGTGGATTATAAAGCTTGCCTGCTTAGCTTAAGAATACATGTAGCTAGTTATACCTCCATTTCCCTGCATATCTTAATGATGGGTCGCTTAGTTAATTGATACAAGACAAAGGTTACATAGCACTGTTGCATGTTCAGCCACCTGCCAAGTATGGGATTTGTTAATCTGATTAATGGTGGTGTTTCTCACACTATTCTGCAACATAAATTAGCTCAACCCACATCTCAAGTCCAGTATGACATTTAAACATATTTGTTATTAAAAACAAATTGTGGATGAAGGATATAATTTATTGTATACAAATTGTCTTTATGAAGAGTGAACACGGTAAAAATTGCACCCTGAATTCATGCAAGTATCATGGTTTGTCATGATCTTAAAATATATGTTTGCTTAGACATTATGTCCTGGCTTGAATGGCCTCAGGAATTCTAAACATGTGAATGACACTGACAGAAATTACACCCACTGTATTTAGAGCACTTCCTTGCCAGTTACTTTCAGAACATTGAAGCTGCTATAATACATACAATCTTACTTTCTTGTTCTAGTCTTCAAGTACATCACCATACACTGGACACTACACCAGCCTTGGGATATTCCTTCAAGATAATGACATATGAGATCTTTTAAAGCTTCAGTACTTCCATCACTTAATGTGCTATTCTGACTAAGCCAAGCCAATCCCTGAAACCTGACCACAGCATGTCAAGCAAGACAGATTGCCATCCTTAGGTGTACCCAATCTGAACTTATTTAATTCATGCTGATCATAATTTCCTAGTCATCTTGACTCTCTTCTTCCTCTTGAGCTATTCTGACTGCCCCCTCTTCACTGCCCATAGGATCAGAAGCAACATATGAAGCTGAAAATCCTTTGTTCATTAAAGAGTCATCTGAGCGAAAACGGACTAGAAGGGCCTCATTCATAGAGATGATTTCAGTGGGATTCTGTAAAACATAAAAATGTTATCTCATTTAGTTAATTTTTAAAATAAAGTTGGGAAGTTTCTGTACAGGCCAGAGGCTGCAGTTTGTACTATATCTATCATAAGTCACCCAAGGCATACACTTTATCGACATTATTTTATAATGTTCATGCTGTTAAATGCTGTAAGTAAAATTTTCCTTGTATTGCATTTCAATTATGAAGCTCTGAAGTGGGCCAATCAGGGATGAGAAATGAGAGGGAGTGGTGCCTGTCCCTGAAGATCAAGACAGTATGTTTCTCCAAAATGTTGGCATCTACCAATTAGTCTATATGGTGTGAAAAACTCAAGAGAACATCATAAAGGTTTTGATTGATTGTGCTACTGACTCATAAAATCTGTCATATAATGAAAGGCAGATGTAAGAACAGGTATGAAACTTTGGTGGAATGATGCTTGCAGTGGGAAACCAAGGCATTTGGAGAAAATTCTTCCTCACTGTCATGTGGTCTAGTGCCTTTCTGAAATTGAAGTTCTAGCTGTTGTCTGCAACCTAATGGTCATAGTATAACCCCAATTGCATGAAATGTATAGGTGTACAGTAGAACAAACTCATTTAATATTTCTCTGTGAGGACGCTGGATTTGAAACATTAAACAAAGGATACACTTAAAACTGAGGCAACTGAACACTTGAATCATTGACATGGGGTCACTGAATTTGAACTCCGCATGAAGAAACATTTTCATTAAGTGGGACTTCCACTGTATTTACTCACTGAATTTCCACAAAAGCGGCCATAAAAAGGTCCGCTAGCATCAAGGCCAGAGTAAACCTCAACATAATCATAGCCACAGTCCTGTTCATCTTCCAACTCAAATGTGAGGAAGGTGAGATGTACATTGAGGCCAGGCTCTGCCTCGATAGACCAATCACAATCTGCTCTATTTTCATAATTGTGGTCACCATACTTTGAGTGTGAATACAGATGTTTGACACGGTCAGTTGCCTGTAGGTGCCCACCACAAGCTGAAAATACAAAATACATTTTTAAATACAGCTCGTAATAGCAGTGCTCATGACAAATCACATATGCCTAAGCATAATGATTGTAAAAGACTTTAGATGATGAGAAGTTTTACCTGTTGTATGGCTTGCAAAGAAGCCTTTTCTTTGTACAGATGCATCTGATTTGAAGACCAAAAGCATCTGATTCCCAGTAGCAATAATTGGATGTGGCGCTTTGGAGCCACAAAATCTTCCCAGTGTGTGTGCTTCTGGGGAATCTCCGTCATATATCACAATATGATCATAAGCACACTCCTGGTGGGGCTCCAGTTCAAACTCACTGAATATCTAAAGAATCACAAATAGATTCCATAAAATGTCTGGAGGCTCATGCAGTAGAATAAATTACATTGTATCCATAATATGAAATTAGTATAACAATTAAAACAATTTGTAGGGCAATATAGCTTTAGAAATATAAGAAAACTTACACATTAAACAAACTTTATAAAGTCATAAATAACATTATATTTAAATTTGATGCAATATTTCCATTAATAGTATTACTGATGTTATTTATAATTAATATAACAACAACAACAGATTTAACACCGTGAAAACCTCAAATCCTACACAGGGGTATTGAGGATAATGTCTGGACTTAAGGTGGATAAAGTAACAGGAGAATGGAAAAAACTAATATTGAACCTTCAGTTTCATAAATGGGAGGGATTTCTTGACCAGATGGGCACACTATCAGTTTCTCAAGAGAAACTTGTCTTCATGGAGTTAGCTTCAAATGTTTGTTTGACTTCAAGACTTGTGCAATATTTACCAACTTAATGCGATGTCCTGGAGTAGTAGTGAAATGCCAAATGCAGTCTTTGCGACTTGGGTAATAGTCAGGATAATTGGGTGAAGAGATGGTTCCAGAAGGTGCAGTAATCTCATATTTGCATCCTCCCTCCTTACAGTCATGTCCATTTTCATGCAACATGAACCCGTTGTGGCAGGAACATGCATAGGAACCAATGGTATTACGACATTCATGTTGACAACCTCCGTTGTTGATTGCACATTCATCCATATCTGTAGCAAATTATGAACAATAGCATAACTCAGCTCGTAAGGGTTTTGTAAAATTCTAACTGGAAAGTGTTCTTAAAAAAATTATAGAATATTCTGATCTGAAACATTAAGGTAAGAGACCACTTGGAACACCTTCACATAGATGACAAAAATATATTCAAATGACTCATGAAGAAACAGGGCATGAAGGGTGGACTTCTCAACCCATTGACAGGTTTATGCACAGAGTAATGATCCTTCAGGTCCCACATTAGAAAAGCATTTAATGATCAGATGAACAACTGTTTGATTGTTAAGGACCAAGAAGTGTCATCAGAATCAGTGTCAAGATTCGCTATTCATTGCACTGATTTCAGATTCATAATTAATATTATTTCTTACCTATTTCAGTTAAAGGAATTTGACTGAATTTTGCATATGTGTAAGCTTATAAGCAATCTTACCAGTAAAGAAAACTGCAGCAAAGCCAGATTTCTGGACTGAGTTGTCAGAATTAAATTCAACACGGAGGCTGTTTCCATCTGATGTGATGAGGGGAGGGATCCGGGAGCCGCAATAGACACCATGTTTCCTCATTACATCCTCACCCATCTTGCTGTGTACCTCCACACTGTCATATTCACACTCTTGCTGCAAAGTCCACAAATGTATACAAAGCACAGCAGTGCTTGAGTTGTGAACTACTTTGTAGATCGGTTATTATCAAGAACAACATTAATTTTCATAAAAATTTAAAACAGCCGCATTGCATGTTACACAGCAAGTTTGAATTGTAATTTGTAATGGTAAAGAAATAACATTTTATACACATAACAAATGCATTTTAAATCTTCTGTATCATCTATCATTTTAGCAAATAGTTTAACTTAATACATAGGGTACCAAATACACATTTGAAGGTATTCATTGGTATATTATGGTTCTGTCTGCCTTAACTAAAGATTGTCAGGTTTAATTTTTTACCAAGGAAATCCTGGGACAGTTTATTACATGTGATCTGAACATACCTGTTTCCAAACACATTCCAACAAGCATCAGAACTTTCATAGTATCAACACCATTCCTTACCTGATACACCTGAAATATAAGGAGAAGAAATAACAGTGAAATATAAAAGTTTTAAATTCCATAATAAATTACTGCACCTTGCACAAAACGTCTCTCATTATATATGATTTTGTTATCCATGTTTTTAGTTCAGTATTATGAGGAGCATTAGGATTCTATTTTTAACCATGTGCAGTTTCACTGACTTGCCCTACTATTTTGACTCCATAAAATACAAATTAAGGCCTCTAAAGTTGTGGTGTATCATTCAGAAAATCCATGGGCATGTAATACATTTCCTGTTTTACATATTTTCAATGTATGATTCAAATGGTAGGAATGCAATCCCAATGTATGATGATTTGCCTCTACAGTGAACTTATTTGAAGGCTGTGCTGGTGACATAGCATGGCTTTTCACTATCTGTGATTACTGTGTTACTTGCAGCAGTTCTCAGTCTTAGCAACACAGTGGCCATATAACCTCACTGTATTTTAATTCATCATTAAATTTACTCACATTATTTCCTTCCAATTCAAAATGAGTAAAGTTGAGAGTAATGCGGTACTGTGGTGGAGCTATGATTTCCCACACACAATTCTTGTTTACAGGGTACAGTTCTGGGAAACTGGGACTTGTTATTGTGCCATTTGAGACATCAAACACTCCACCACAAGCATCTGTAACATTAGAGACATACAGTTTATTATGGATGTTTCAGTATCCATGTGTTATATGGCAGAAATAAGAATTAATTTATGACATGTTTCAGACTGAAGAATATTCACACACCTTCACAATGCTTGCCATCAGAATGCAGCTCAAATCCAATTCTACAAGAACACTCATACCCGCCAAGAGTATTTATGCAGTTATGTTCACAGCCATGGGTTTGTAGCGCACATTCATCAAACTCTGCAACACCAATTGTTTATTTTAAGCATCAATTTTACATGTAAGTACTTTCATTCATGAAGCATACATCAGTACCTCATAGAGGTATAAAGATAAAACAAGATTTGTAAGTGGTATCTGATCTAATTCACATTTATATGTAACAATTATCTAAACTGAGTAGCACATTTTGATGTCAGACCTTTGTTTACTTTGTAAGATTTGATTTTTTCACAGCGGTGAGTATGAAGATTTGTTTTATCAAACTTGTGATGAAATTTTATAATAATTATGCCGCATCTATTCTGTAATCTTTTAATTAATATTACGTAAATTTTATGAAAAGATAAAAATCAATAATATGTATGTTAGTTAAGCACAGAAGTAAATCTAGTATATATTGTACCATGTACTTAATTTTTTCCCAGTATTATATGCTACACACTGCTTATGAAAAACAGTAAGTGATATTAGAATTGTAAATCTTGTCTTTATATACATATTAAAATTACATATAATTATTGAATCTAGAGATTGATGATCCTATATGTTCCAAATTAGAAAGAATATTGCAACCAGGACATAAACACTGTTACTATACCACAGAACATTAAATTCAACTGCTCACCCTTCATAAACTTTGCAGAGAAGCCTACTTTCTGAACTGAGCCATCAGAAACAAATTTGATGTACAGGTGATTGCTTGTAGAGTGAATATCACGTGGAATCTTGTACCCACAGAATGTACCAATAAGCGGACTATCAGGCAACAAACCATCTCGCACTTCTAGGTAGTCATACACACAATTGTCATGATTCTCCACCTGAATAAATCAACTCAAAATTACATGTTTCCATGTTGTTGATACATTATATCACAGGTATAATGGAAATTGTCCATTTTGATATATTTATATTGAGGATCAGTTGTATTTTGATGGACTTAATTAGTGTTATCTCAAATGTGCAATGTAATATCACGAAGGATGTATATGTTTCTAACCAATAGCTTCAAAATTAACTTTGCCATTAACTACAATTATTTCACATCATCATTTTATATATCAACTTCTGTCTAATATAGGAACCCAAATTGTTAAGCAATCAAGGATGTATTGAATTAGTGATTCATGCAGAAATCGCTGAAGCAGATTTTACAAATTGTATTTAGACATTTACCTCAAATGACTCAAATTTTAAAGCCACCTGGTAGGTTTCTGGCACACTGAGTTTCCAGACACACTCCTTGTTAGGCTGATAATCATCTGGATAGTTTGGGGACTCCAGATGACCTTCATCCATTGTCAAATGACCTCCACAGACAGCTACAAAGAAAATCATAGTGAAATGAGACTTATTACAGTTACTTAAAATGTTTGGCATCATGACACAAAAGAGATCAATATAGTTTTAAAAATCATTATGTTACTTAAATTTAGTTTCTGTATACAAGGTGTAGTTAATTCTTATAGATTTCCATAAATATTCTGTTAGCAGTCCTCTTTATCTCTTCTGACATCTTCTAAAAGAAAATATTGTTGGATTTGTATAAATGATGAACAGCAAAGGATGTGGAATTCTTGGTATATGTAAGATACTGTTCCAGAATTTGTCTGAAAGTACTGAAGAAAACCATGAAAACCTCAGTCAGGGTCTTTGATGTAAGATTCAATCACCGGACCTCCATTATATAAGTAGGAATGTAAAACAATTGGCTGCAGCATTCAGTCACGCTTCAGTGTTGAAAAATAATTTAATTTACCTTCATAATTTGCCATAAATCCACGATGGCCATTCTGACGGGTGGATGCTATGTAAGTCACCAACATTCGGCTCCCATTTGAGATCACTGGATTATGGATACGATTACTGCCACAGTATCGTCCTGTGAACATAAAGTTCTGGCAATTCACATTACCTGCAAATACCACAGTGAATTTTATTAATCACAAGGAGCAGAAGGGTAGATTCACGCACCAAGGAGAGGTGACTTGTGCCAATAGCCATCGCGAACCTCAATGTAGTCAGTGCGGCAGTTGTCACTATCATAGATGTCCATTTCAGTAATGTTGAGCACAATGCGCTCACCGTGTGTAGCTGTGATACGCCACTCACAGCGTTCACCCTCTGCTGGTGGACTTGAATTTGGATGTGATGGTGATGAAAATGTGGCAGAATTATCCTGATATGTTCTCCCACAACCTTAAACAGAGGGTAGCAGAAAGTATCCCACTTTTTTTTATTTTAATAATATATTGAAAACGTGCAAATTGTACAGTTACAATCATCAAATTTCTAATTATCTGAGTGTTTTATTTGAAACTATTTATTTTGAAACATTTGTGAGTTTGATTCTTGCCCTGGCACTCAAAACGAATCTAAGGCTTACTTACGAAAGCATTTGTACAGTAGGTTAGTCTGAGCAATATCCCCCTCACTCAGCCTGATTCGTTGTCCAATCTCAGGACGCCTCTTATTGGTGTACCTCTCCAGTGGCAGGATTGTGTCGAGGTATGTGCCCTATCAAAATGACAATAAGCTTCGATATTTTTTATATGATAATCAATCACATCAGCATCCAACAGGTATCACAACAATCCAGGGAATGTTAAAACATTATCATGACTTTTCTATCTTTAAACAGCAGAAAGCCACAAGAAATAGTATTGGAAAGATATGAACCATGTACTTCTCAGACGCAAATGAGCACTGTCTTAGTAGTTGACAATGCAAATCTCTTTGTGGATAAACTAATTAAAATACTCTAAAACAATTCATATATCTGTAGAGTTCAAATATATTTTATTGTTCATTCGAGTAAGAATTTCCACATTCCAATTCCAATTTCCACATTTAACACAGTAAATTGAAATGTCCCCTAATATGTAGAAGGATGTTTAAATTAACTGATCTAACAGCACAGGATACAATATATTTTAAAAGTAATAGCATGTATTAATGGATAATTTTATTAATTATTTTGCTTATTACCATTAATGTTTATCATGCAGGACCAGTGGATTTAAATCCCAAACTGCCAGAATGCTAGCCAGAGTTTAATCTCAGGGTTTAGCGGTATGCTAGTGTGACACACAACCAGTTGGGTCATATGTATAAGCCTCAACACATGGATGGTCAATGATAATGTAAGTTAATAATACAAGTAAGTGCTACTTAAAAATGTAACTATTATTTCTTCAGAACTAACCTTAGAAAAGGTGTTACGTGCATAGTGCATGATGGAGTCGTAGTCATATGGGAGACCCAGGGAATTCACTTCTTCGTCTGTCAACTTGTTGAAGTTGTACTCCTGGCCTTCCAAAAAATAATAATACAAAGGACTGTCACACTAAAGTATTTCAGGCTTGACAGTAAGGATAATTTCAAGGAAAGGATTTAACGCACATGGTAGAAGAAGTATAATTGTACTTAAAAGATTTTTCCTTAGTTTTGCAGTAACCTCACAAAAGTAAATTATTTTTATATTTATTCCTCAGATCTAATATTATTCATTACAAAATGGTTAGAAAGTGAACACCTTCCTATGCTAGTAACTGCACTCCATGTGTTCTGTCATGTTCCCAACAGCTCTACATCATCATCACATTAAAATTTCATTTTATAAGGAGATAATTTAACGATATTAAACATACAATTAAGGGCATATGAAGTGTGAGCATGTTTTCAGTCTTTGGCTTATATTGGAGAACACAAGTTTCTCCAGGCCATAAAAGAAAAATATCTTAATTCAGATTCGTAGATTTACAGAATTTCTCAGGTATTTTGAGAGATTTCTGTCAAAACCACACATGACTTGCAAAATGTATGTTGTCCACCTGCTAATTTTGAGTTAAATCTGTTTAAACCTGTTCCTTTCCACAATTCAACAATTCACTTGCAGTTAAAAGCTGAATTTCATTTAATTAATTTAAATCCCAGGGTAGTTCATGTGGAATCTGTGGTGGACAAATTTTTGTCTATGTATCCGATAGTCCCTTGTTATTAATTTCACCATTGTCGCCATCGTAATCAACACAGACCCATTTGAGAACAGAGAGTTAATGGCCATTGCATTCAAAACAGCGAGTCCTCACCAGTCATTATGTTCTCCCGCACAATCTGAACGTGGTCGTCACGGTCAGGACGCGTGTGCTCGTGCCAGAAGCCAACCACGTGCCCCAGCTCATGCACTACGATGCCGAACTTGTCGCAGTTCTTCCCAATAGAAATAGCCTGTGGGCCGTTGCCACGCTTCCCAACAAAAGAACAGCACCTGGAGCACAAAGCGACAATGCAGTATGTGATATATATACCTTTTGATCCTGGTGGTTTAGAGATAATACTCAAACGATTAATTGAGAGGTACTTGGTTCAAATATTGGCCAGACAACCAGCTATCTCAACTAAGTGTTTTTGTGATTTTCCTCAGACACAGGCAAGTTCTTTTGAATGTGAAATAAACCGTTGGCTTCCACACAGTTGTATGAAAATTCTTCACTGAGCATACCATTATCTTCTAAAGAAACATGTTCCATAAACTTAGTAATTGCACTGATCTAGTTAAATTTCTGTTTCAGACTAGTTTATGCAAGGTTTCGATGTTGTTCACTTACAGATCAGTTTGTCGGTAAATGTTTAGTAAATCAAAAAAATATTTCTGTCAAAATATGGCGTCTTCTTCTGGAGATTGACATTTGCCTTATAACGTTTTCATATAATTGTATGTTTCGGAGATAACGGACACTAAATACTGAAGTGAATTATAGATGTTTGTGTTATTTCGTTTGTAAATATGTTTGTAGTTCTGCCCACTTAGCAATGAAATTGATAGATGAGTGAAGAAAATATCAGAAACTTAATGATCCTAAGAAAAAAATTAAGCTGTAGAATCCTTGAGAAACTGATAAGAGGTTTGGCTTTTCAAGAAAGCCTAAAAATGTAACTATTATTTCTTCAGAACTAACCTTAGAAAAGGTGTTACGTGCATAGTGCATGATGGAGTCGTAGTCATATGGGAGACCCAGGGAATTCACTTCTTCGTCTGTCAACTTGTTGAAGTTGTACTCCTGGCCTTCCAAAAAATAATAATACAAAGGACTGTCACACTAAAGTATTTCAGGCTTGACAGTAAGGATAATTTCAAGGAAAGGATTTAACGCACATGGTAGAAGAAGTATAATTGTACTTAAAAGATTTTTCCTTAGTTTTGCAGTAACCTCACAAAAGTAAATTATTTTTATATTTATTCCTCAGATCTAATATTATTCATTACAAAATGGTTAGAAAGTGAACACCTTCCTATGCTAGTAACTGCACTCCATGTGTTCTGTCATGTTCCCAACAGCTCTACATCATCATCACATTAAAATTTCATTTTATAAGGAGATAATTTAACGATATTAAACATACAATTAAGGGCATATGAAGTGTGAGCATGTTTTCAGTCTTTGGCTTATATTGGAGAACACAAGTTTCTCCAGGCCATAAAAGAAAAATATCTTAATTCAGATTCGTAGATTTACAGAATTTCTCAGGTATTTTGAGAGATTTCTGTCAAAACCACACATGACTTGCAAAATGTATGTTGTCCACCTGCTAATTTTGAGTTAAATCTGTTTAAACCTGTTCCTTTCCACAATTCAACAATTCACTTGCAGTTAAAAGCTGAATTTCATTTAATTAATTTAAATCCCAGGGTAGTTCATGTGGAATCTGTGGTGGACAAATTTTTGTCTATGTATCCGATAGTCCCTTGTTATTAATTTCACCATTGTCGCCATCGTAATCAACACAGACCCATTTGAGAACAGAGAGTTAATGGCCATTGCATTCAAAACAGCGAGTCCTCACCAGTCATTATGTTCTCCCGCACAATCTGAACGTGGTCGTCACGGTCAGGACGCGTGTGCTCGTGCCAGAAGCCAACCACGTGCCCCAGCTCATGCACTACGATGCCGAACTTGTCGCAGTTCTTCCCAATAGAAATAGCCTGTGGGCCGTTGCCACGCTTCCCAACAAAAGAACAGCACCTGGAGCACAAAGCGACAATGCAGTATGTGATATATATACCTTTTGATCCTGGTGGTTTAGAGATAATACTCAAACGATTAATTGAGAGGTACTTGGTTCAAATATTGGCCAGACAACCAGCTATCTCAACTAAGTGTTTTTGTGATTTTCCTCAGACACAGGCAAGTTCTTTTGAATGTGAAATAAACCGTTGGCTTCCACACAGTTGTATGAAAATTCTTCACTGAGCATACCATTATCTTCTAAAGAAACATGTTCCATAAACTTAGTAATTGCACTGATCTAGTTAAATTTCTGTTTCAGACTAGTTTATGCAAGGTTTCGATGTTGTTCACTTACAGATCAGTTTGTCGGTAAATGTTTAGTAAATCAAAAAAATATTTCTGTCAAAATATGGCGTCTTCTTCTGGAGATTGACATTTGCCTTATAACGTTTTCATATAATTGTATGTTTCGGAGATAACGGACACTAAATACTGAAGTGAATTATAGATGTTTGTGTTATTTCGTTTGTAAATATGTTTGTAGTTCTGCCCACTTAGCAATGAAATTGATAGATGAGTGAAGAAAATATCAGAAACTTAATGATCCTAAGAAAAAAATTAAGCTGTAGAATCCTTGAGAAACTGATAAGAGGTTTGGCTTTTCAAGAAAGCCTCTGCCTTTTATGGAACCTGAAGGTTCATTACCGTTGTCACAAAAGCACATGTCTGTACACTAACTTTAATCAGCAGAATTCAGAATATCCATTTTTATATCAGCCTTCCATCTATGCTTGGTTTCTGAGAAATCTCTTTTTCTCAGACTTTCCAACCAAAATTTATCATAAATTTTCTATTGTCATATTCTTGTTACATGCCACGGTCATTGGAAAATTTTATCTCTCTTTGGTGAAAACATGAATTATGGAAATGAACTGATGACTGAATCGCGGTTTGGAAAGGACATGGAAGAATATGGTCCTGGGCTGTTTTAAGGTGCAATCTCAAGGGTTTTAACGGAGAAACTGGGGAATACCATAAAATACCACCGGACCTCCATTATATAAGTAGGAATGTAAAACAATTGGCTGCAGCATTCAGTCACGCTTCAGTGTTGAAAAATAATTTAATTTACCTTCATAATTTGCCATAAATCCACGATGGCCATTCTGACGGGTGGATGCTATGTAAGTCACCAACATTCGGCTCCCATTTGAGATCACTGGATTATGGATACGATTACTGCCACAGTATCGTCCTGTGAACATAAAGTTCTGGCAATTCACATTACCTGCAAATACCACAGTGAATTTTATTAATCACAAGGAGCAGAAGGGTAGATTCACGCACCAAGGAGAGGTGACTTGTGCCAATAGCCATCGCGAACCTCAATGTAGTCAGTGCGGCAGTTGTCACTATCATAGATGTCCATTTCAGTAATGTTGAGCACAATGCGCTCACCGTGTGTAGCTGTGATACGCCACTCACAGCGTTCACCCTCTGCTGGTGGACTTGAATTTGGATGTGATGGTGATGAAAATGTGGCAGAATTATCCTGATATGTTCTCCCACAACCTTAAACAGAGGGTAGCAGAAAGTATCCCACTTTTTTTTATTTTAATAATATATTGAAAACGTGCAAATTGTACAGTTACAATCATCAAATTTCTAATTATCTGAGTGTTTTATTTGAAACTATTTATTTTGAAACATTTGTGAGTTTGATTCTTGCCCTGGCACTCAAAACGAATCTAAGGCTTACTTACGAAAGCATTTGTACAGTAGGTTAGTCTGAGCAATATCCCCCTCACTCAGCCTGATTCGTTGTCCAATCTCAGGACGCCTCTTATTGGTGTACCTCTCCAGTGGCAGGATTGTGTCGAGGTATGTGCCCTATCAAAATGACAATAAGCTTCGATATTTTTTATATGATAATCAATCACATCAGCATCCAACAGGTATCACAACAATCCAGGGAATGTTAAAACATTATCATGACTTTTCTATCTTTAAACAGCAGAAAGCCACAAGAAATAGTATTGGAAAGATATGAACCATGTACTTCTCAGACGCAAATGAGCACTGTCTTAGTAGTTGACAATGCAAATCTCTTTGTGGATAAACTAATTAAAATACTCTAAAACAATTCATATATCTGTAGAGTTCAAATATATTTTATTGTTCATTCGAGTAAGAATTTCCACATTCCAATTCCAATTTCCACATTTAACACAGTAAATTGAAATGTCCCCTAATATGTAGAAGGATGTTTAAATTAACTGATCTAACAGCACAGGATACAATATATTTTAAAAGTAATAGCATGTATTAATGGATAATTTTATTAATTATTTTGCTTATTACCATTAATGTTTATCATGCAGGACCAGTGGATTTAAATCCCAAACTGCCAGAATGCTAGCCAGAGTTTAATCTCAGGGTTTAGCGGTATGCTAGTGTGACACACAACCAGTTGGGTCATATGTATAAGCCTCAACACATGGATGGTCAATGATAATGTAAGTTAATAATACAAGTAAGTGCTACTTAAAAATGTAACTATTATTTCTTCAGAACTAACCTTAGAAAAGGTGTTACGTGCATAGTGCATGATGGAGTCGTAGTCATATGGGAGACCCAGGGAATTCACTTCTTCGTCTGTCAACTTGTTGAAGTTGTACTCCTGGCCTTCCAAAAAATAATAATACAAAGGACTGTCACACTAAAGTATTTCAGGCTTGACAGTAAGGATAATTTCAAGGAAAGGATTTAACGCACATGGTAGAAGAAGTATAATTGTACTTAAAAGATTTTTCCTTAGTTTTGCAGTAACCTCACAAAAGTAAATTATTTTTATATTTATTCCTCAGATCTAATATTATTCATTACAAAATGGTTAGAAAGTGAACACCTTCCTATGCTAGTAACTGCACTCCATGTGTTCTGTCATGTTCCCAACAGCTCTACATCATCATCACATTAAAATTTCATTTTATAAGGAGATAATTTAACGATATTAAACATACAATTAAGGGCATATGAAGTGTGAGCATGTTTTCAGTCTTTGGCTTATATTGGAGAACACAAGTTTCTCCAGGCCATAAAAGAAAAATATCTTAATTCAGATTCGTAGATTTACAGAATTTCTCAGGTATTTTGAGAGATTTCTGTCAAAACCACACATGACTTGCAAAATGTATGTTGTCCACCTGCTAATTTTGAGTTAAATCTGTTTAAACCTGTTCCTTTCCACAATTCAACAATTCACTTGCAGTTAAAAGCTGAATTTCATTTAATTAATTTAAATCCCAGGGTAGTTCATGTGGAATCTGTGGTGGACAAATTTTTGTCTATGTATCCGATAGTCCCTTGTTATTAATTTCACCATTGTCGCCATCGTAATCAACACAGACCCATTTGAGAACAGAGAGTTAATGGCCATTGCATTCAAAACAGCGAGTCCTCACCAGTCATTATGTTCTCCCGCACAATCTGAACGTGGTCGTCACGGTCAGGACGCGTGTGCTCGTGCCAGAAGCCAACCACGTGCCCCAGCTCATGCACTACGATGCCGAACTTGTCGCAGTTCTTCCCAATAGAAATAGCCTGTGGGCCGTTGCCACGCTTCCCAACAAAAGAACAGCACCTGGAGCACAAAGCGACAATGCAGTATGTGATATATATACCTTTTGATCCTGGTGGTTTAGAGATAATACTCAAACGATTAATTGAGAGGTACTTGGTTCAAATATTGGCCAGACAACCAGCTATCTCAACTAAGTGTTTTTGTGATTTTCCTCAGACACAGGCAAGTTCTTTTGAATGTGAAATAAACCGTTGGCTTCCACACAGTTGTATGAAAATTCTTCACTGAGCATACCATTATCTTCTAAAGAAACATGTTCCATAAACTTAGTAATTGCACTGATCTAGTTAAATTTCTGTTTCAGACTAGTTTATGCAAGGTTTCGATGTTGTTCACTTACAGATCAGTTTGTCGGTAAATGTTTAGTAAATCAAAAAAATATTTCTGTCAAAATATGGCGTCTTCTTCTGGAGATTGACATTTGCCTTATAACGTTTTCATATAATTGTATGTTTCGGAGATAACGGACACTAAATACTGAAGTGAATTATAGATGTTTGTGTTATTTCGTTTGTAAATATGTTTGTAGTTCTGCCCACTTAGCAATGAAATTGATAGATGAGTGAAGAAAATATCAGAAACTTAATGATCCTAAGAAAAAAATTAAGCTGTAGAATCCTTGAGAAACTGATAAGAGGTTTGGCTTTTCAAGAAAGCCTCTGCCTTTTATGGAACCTGAAGGTTCATTACCGTTGTCACAAAAGCACATGTCTGTACACTAACTTTAATCAGCAGAATTCAGAATATCCATTTTTATATCAGCCTTCCATCTATGCTTGGTTTCTGAGAAATCTCTTTTTCTCAGACTTTCCAACCAAAATTTATCATAAATTTTATATTGTCATATTCTTCTTACATGCCACGGCCATTGAAAAATTTTATCTCTCTTTGGTGAAAACATGAATTATGGAAATGAACTGATGACTGAATCACGGTTTGGAAAGGACATGGAAGGATACGGTCCTGGGCTGTTTTAAGGTGCAATCTCAAGGGTTTTAACGGAGAAAATGGGGAACACCATAAAATAATTTAGGGCAATCTGTTGCTGGATCGCTGTTCTATATACGTTCGATATTTAGTCCCAAAATAAAATTCGTTTCGTGGATATCCTACAGGCTTCACTGGAAGGATAGTAATAATTTCAATGAGGGCTAGAATTCTGCCGAGTGAGGTTCGTCAGAACTGGTAGAGACCAGGTGTAAAATAAGCAGGATTCTTTTTACAAAGACACTGCAAGTTTAATTGCGTATAATTGGACTTCGGAAATTTCGCATAACTACGTGTAGAGTTCCTTCACTGCACTGTTGCAGTTTTTCCA